TCTCTCTCATCTCTTTCTCTCTCATCTCTTTCTCACTCATCTCTTTCTCACTCATCTCTTTCTCACTCATCTCTTTCTCACTCATCTCTTTCTCATCTCTCTCATCTCTCTCTCCTCTCTCTCTCTCTCTCTCCTCTCTGTCTCTCGTCTTTCCGTCTCTCTTCTCTCTCTTCTCTCGCAGGAGGATCCGGGCAAAGAGCCACATATAAAGGACTCTTCACCCCTGCCTCCAAAAAGAGCGCCGTGTTTTTTCCTACCTCGCTGCCCTCCACTTTCCCATTCTGGAGCGCTAGCTTTCGCCCCCCCCTTGGCCTCAAGTATTACTTGTAGTTTGGGGACTCTTGAGTTTGATGGCAGCATGGGGCAAGTGAGGGCGAAACGTCTTGCTTTGACGGCAGACCGAGCCAGGTCTTCGTTCCATCCTTGGTGCTGCGGTCGACCAACAACCCCCCGTCTTGCCAGGGCTCACGGGTCATAGTGAGGGGGTGTCTATACTTTTCTTATAATACTAGCACCTTGGTGGCTCAGTCTGTAGATAGTTAGTCAGATAGATAATGATAGATAGATATAGAATATATAATGATATAGATATAGATGCAAACATATGCAACCACACACATATATCTATATATAGAGAGCTAGAGAAATAGTTATAAATAGATAGATATATTAAGATAGATAAATATATATACATTTATAAACATAGATCTGTATTCATATATGTACCACCTGGTCACATGGAATGGCTGCGGCACTGTTTCTTGGACAGCTGAACTCAAGCAGGGTCCAGGGCTTGGCGGCTTGGCCATCCAAAACTGCTCCCTGTCCCAACAAGGACACCGTTCGGACCATCCATCGGAGACGAACGAAGTCGTCCCCCACATCAGGAGGAGGAGCTCTTCTTCTCGAAGCTGCTGCCACATCGCTTCGACAACTTGCCGGACAACTCCAAGATCCCTGGCTGATCACTCCGGTCCCGGATCTGCCGGACCGCGGTGCCGGACATCGTTCCACGCCGTGATCGACGCCGGACATCGGTCATCCACATGAGGTCAAACATGTCCGGACACGTATTTGCCAAGAAGGATGGATGAGTACTAGTGGACTGATTGATTCACACCTCCCTTTATGGCTTGAAAGTACTTCAAAGTGTTCGTGTCCGATAGCGGCCGGAAGTCGTCCGAGGATTCCCGTGGAGATTTGGCGCAGCTTGCTTCCTGGCCTTCACTGTGAGCCGGAGGTGGGCGAAGACGGTGGGGAGCGGAGGAGAGAACGTAGGGAACAACACGGCTTGGTTGGAAAGACATGCATGACAAGAAAGCATCAGGAGTATTCATGAGTCACAGGATGCTGCTTAGGAAGCTGAAGCACAAAGTCTGAGATTGTTGAAGCATCAAAGAAAGAAAACTAGAGATGCCTACAGTGTTATAGTGAATTTCTTTTTTCAATGCACGCCTCAGTGACCAGTGTTTTTTAATGTTTGTTGTTTTCCATAGGTGTGCTTTCTTCAAGTAAAGCCGACGACATGAAGCTGCGAAACGACCTGTAGACCGCCTGCGAAACACTGTAACGCTGCAAAATTAAGCTGTAGAATGCTGTAGCCGTCGTAAAGTTCAGCTGCGAAAGCGCTACCCTCCACGGATGGATGCCTCCAGGTGCTGTGGGTGTTGGCCTCCGGTCTCAACGAAAGGGTCTTCGACGAGAAGGGCGCCCGTGCCATCATCGCGACTTGGGCGGAGCGGAGCGGAGCCGTGGGGTTCCACCACTGGAGGTGCGACCGTCAGGGTGTCGGCCATAAAGACCCCTTAGCAGAACAGCACCGGAGGGAGACTTCCAGGTTGGTGGGCCAAGAGCCCGGGAAGAGGTTGGTGGCCCGGTTGGTTCACTTTTTGTGGATTTGTACGCAGGGATTCCCTGTGCTTGGCACAGCATGTCTATACTCAGAACTGCTGTGCAAGTGGTGCAAGCCTGCCCCCGAAGAGCCCTTACATGGGTGCATTTCAATAGGGGGACCCCCTAGTCTGATGGGTAGACTGGTCTATGATTCCTTCTTCCAGGGGGGGTCGAACTGTCAACTTTTTTATCTCAACCCATATTTCCATGTCAATCTCCTCTTTGTTCATCACCTTTTCTTGACACGGGCTTGTAGCCAATTGCAGGGTGCTTGTCCGATCTAGTCTAGTTCATTTAGATTTGGAGTATGTTAGGTGGATGTTAGGGACCGAGTCCCAACCGCTTGCGCCTGGGCTCTCTGCCGCTGGATGGTGGCTCGCCGCTGCCAAGCACCTATAAGGAACTCGCTTGGGAAGAGGCCTCCGTGGCGCATCTCATCACCTTCTTACTGGTGCCTGGGGCTGGTTCGGTGGCGTTTTCAGAGGTTCGGTGGATCACCTGCGAGCCCGGAGACAAGAAGAGGTGGAGACGGAGAGTGTGGAAGACAATTATCCCAGACACGACCTGTCTGGGACTGCCAGGACGGACTGCCGCCCCAGAAAGATCCCCCAAACCACCACCCCAACTGATCGGCATCTATGGCAGCCCCATGGAGTGTCTGGGTATGATAATACCTCGAATTGCCCAGCACAACCCGCTCGGGAGTGAGGAGAACTCACTCTTCCCATCGCTCAGCAGCGAGACCAGGACCCCTGGGGGCGGCTGGGGAGCCTCCGCCCCCTTCCGCACGCCGATGTGAGGGGAGATGATCGACCTTCAGAGCGTCACACACGACGGGGGATGAGCATCTTGTGGAAGAGAAAGGATGCCCCCCTTTCTCCTGGCCGGTTTATGCTTACGGCTTAAGGGGATGTTTCTATTGGTCCCTATGATTAAATGGGGAATCATTGTTATGCTTTTCCAGGTTCCTGGACAGCAAAATCCAGGTTCACTCTCCCCCCATCTACCGAGGATCTCATCGCCGCTCTGCTCTTTTGGGGCTTGGCCTTCTTGCTCAACGACCCCCGTGCCGTGGCAGCACCCGACGCAGTCGGGATGTCAGAGGGAGTTTCACTTTGGCAGGTGAAGGAGGATCAAGCCTCATGATAACTCTTACCTCTCAGATGATGGACCCTCTTAGCTTATCTCTAAGCTTATCATCTTATGGACCCTTGGACTCTTGGACTGATCATCAGACCTCTACGAGCTTCGGACTGATCTCAATCAGTCCGAGGGTCCTGACGAGTGTATCAAGCTTGGCTGGGAGGGCGACCTTGCTGTAACGAACATGGGCTCCGAGTTTCGCCGGAGGACCCATCGCCGGAGTGACCGTTGACTTGTTGAAATCAAGCAAGTTGATGAGCATTTGTCAAGCAAGCAGGACACCTTTCCCACACGCAAGAGAGATCCACGTAAACCATCGTAAACTCACTCACCCTACACCTCCAACCATATCTTGAGAAGGTGGGGACCGACTCCCCTGGCACCCCCTGGCACAGCAAAAAGAAATGGAGGAGTATATAGTGAAGCGTTGCCTTCGGAGCCTTCAAGGACTACAAGAGCCTTTGTACGATCCTCAGTGGCTCCGGACAGTGGTCCTGCTGATCCTGATCTTGCCTCTTGCCTCAGGTTTTGGAGTCCTTTTTCGTTGAAGGGCCCAGGGAGGTCCTTAGAACCGAGAACTGTCAGGTGAAATTGGGGATGCAGGTGGTGACCTACTGCTGGTGACCTTCTCTCAGATACTCTGGGTTGAATGCTTTTGGACATATCTGTGGAGATATTTGCAGGCACCAGGGAACAAATTAGAAGATTGGGCTCAAACTCAAAAACAACCTCCAATTATGAGCTTATGCATATTCAGACATATTCCATTGATGTCCATCGCCCAGCTACTCGTAGTGGCAATGCATTAAGATTCTCTTGATTTCTCGGCATCTGAGTGTCGCATGACTTCCCGGACTGCGCTGAGGATCTGGAGTCGAAATGTCCTCATCGAAGTCATGCAGTGCGTGGGGTTTCATGCCTATGGGACTCTTGGTTTTTTCACCGAGATCTTGGTTTTTACATGCTTTATCCCAGAAAGAAACAATAGATGTCAATATAGTGGACAATAGAATGATTTGATGCCTGTCTTGGGGGGGTCTCTTTTTGGGGTGGCAACCCATCGACATCTCCGCTCAAGCTGTGACGGCCATCACTGTGAACAAAAAGCAACTCAGACTAATACCCAGCAGTCACATGTCGGGGTGGATAGTGGGCACCCCTAACCTCCATGGATAGCACCCCTGTGTGACTGCTGGAAGACTCCTACTAAAGACATCTGCATAAAGACTAAAGATCTCAGCAGACGATGAACTGATTTTTTGGTCAGGAACTGGAGGAGCTAACACTAGTGCTAACATGTGCTAACACTTTGTCCAAACAAGCTACTGGGCATGCAGCTACACATGCTTTGTAGATAAGCATTGTCTTCGAGGGTGCTATAGCCTTCCATGTCTATATTTGCTTTAGAGCAACCGGTTATATTGTTATATTTTCCAAACCAGCTGGTGTAACTAAGCCTTCATTCAGCATGAAACAACCACAGACTTTGTTGCAACAAGTTGAAAGGAGAGCATGCATGCTCTCACCCTTTGGGGAGGGCAACCGGCCTAGATCCAACCATCGAGTGGTTGTGATGTCGTCTTTGTAAAAGATGAACAGGCTTCCTCTTCAGAGCAGTCCCTGCATAAAGTGATTGGAACCTATAGGAACCACGCCTTTCGTCAGGTTCGTTAAAACTACTGGTCCATCCACTAGTGATGCATCCACCAGTGAGTGATGTCTCCAGTGTTTCTTCGCACCGTGCCAGGTGCGCATTCCCGGATTCTTGCTGAGGTACCCACTTTTGAAAGTACTCTCCATTCGTACCGGAGGCATACATACCAGGACCCCCAAAAAGGGTTACTGGACACCCCTTAACAGCTAAGGGGCTAAGCCATAGACACCCCAACAGGAGGGTCCTGGTATATAGGTGCAGCATTCGGCCGGTGATGGATGGTGATGGGGTGCCCTTCCTTCTCACTTCGACACCAGGTCGTCTTCCAAAACCACCATTACACTCCGACGAACACATCACATGGAAGTGGACAACCCCCTGTCCGTAAAAGAATGTACCCTCTGACTCACTAACATGGAAGTGGATGGCATGGTCACTTGGAAGACTACTTTCCTCTACCAACACAGGGTTTTCCACTTCCATGTTTGTTCGTCAGAGTGTAGTCTTCCTTACGGGACCATGCCATCCACTTCCATGTGTGTTCGTCAGAGTGTATGCTGTAGAGTGCTTTGGTGTGACGACTCCGCCACAGGAAACTCTGTCAGTACTTCCGGTCGGTTGAGAACCTCGGGGATGCCCTCAGGACGTTTTTGGCTGGGCGGGACAGGCGGTCGAGGGCGGCAGCTCCGGTCAATGAGGGATGAAGGACAGTGGCAAGAAATGAATCTCTGAGATGACTTGACCCTCCCTCCCTCCCAACAAGTGGGCAATCCCCTTTGTTGGTGGAGGAGAGTGGTCTTTCCGGGGGCCATTTTCCACTTTCATGATGGGAATCGTTTTCTTCCTGTTACGGACAGATGTGCGTTTCGTTCTCCAAAGGGCAATGGATGTCTTGCAAAAACTTCTTGTTCATTCCTGCTGTTTGTGAGAAGTTCATCAGGTGTTCATCCAGCGTACTGGTTTTTACCAACTTCTGTACCGTGCAGTGCAGCTTTCGATCCTTAATATATTGATGATCATGTTCCCACCCATGGACCATCCACTCTTCTCCCGCTCTTCTCCGCCGTGGTCGCGCCGTGGTCCGGCGGGCGATGCGGTAGGATCGTCATGACCGGCTTCAGTCAGATTGCCTTGGCGCGCCTCGGAGGTTGGAAGGGCGGTCGTTGACATCGGGAATTTGTCGGGGTGGGTTGTTGGAAGAAGGGCATGGGAGCATGAGAGTGTCCGGAGGGTGTCCTGATCTTTCTGTGCGTTTTTTTTTCGATTTTGGGACTGAAGGGGTTGTGATTTGTGTCTTTTGGATCTGGATGAGTGTTTTGACCCAGGTTTACTTATGCTGGGATCTATGTATCCATAAAAGTGGATGCTCTGGCGCCCGTGTGGCCAGGGCTGTTGAGATCCGATCCAAGGGGGACCTGCCGTCACCAAGGACCAATTGGGACAAGGTCCAGGAGAATCAAGCCGCTCGGCCTGTAGCGGATTGTGGTGCTGGAATGGAGAGGGAGATGAGCTACATGTTCACTACTATTGCAGGGGGAGATGGTGGCAGATGGCATTTTCGACGTTTTTCTCATTTTTTTTCCTTTCCACCAGTCCAAGAAGTGAACATGATGCTTGCGGATTGCCCGTTGCTTGTTGCAGCTGCTGTTGCTGTGGTTGATCAGCTGGGGGCCGCTCCGCATGGATTCTTCTTTGAACAGGCAAATGCAGAACGAGCAATACAGAAACACCCCTTGCGGAGTCGCCTCGGAGCCGACCTTTCAAACGACCTTTCAAAAGGCCGTAGATCGACACAAGACGGTCACAGGCCCGATAGATAGAGCATCATTGGACCCTCCGAACGAGACCAACCGCGAGTTCGCCCACCGACAGAACGGGTGCCGCGGCAGCGGCAGGCTAGCTACCCTGGTCATGAGAAGATGGGACCCTCCAGACTTGCACTTTTGCGGGCCCCGTGAGTCGCAGTCAGATGTTCCTTTGGTTCCCGAAATTGGGGTGCCGATCCTTCGTTGCCCGATTCTCGCGAAAGCTGCGATGTGAGTGGTTTTGTGGCCGCCAGATGCCCCCCCCACGCCGTTCTTTTTGGCCCCAGCAGGCCTTTTTTGCGGCAGAAACGGGTGACACCTGGTGCCGGGTGTTACCTTCGTTCGGCATCAGGTTTTGCGGATCATCTTCGCACTCACGGGCTTCGTCCGATGGTTGAGGCGCGTCTTTCGCCGAAAAACAGCATCCGAGACCGGTGGGCGTCCGTGTAGAGATGACAGCAGTTTGGGATTCGAAATCGGCATCCTTGTGAGCCAAGTGGAGGCCCTGCATGGATTGCTATCATAACATCAGTGGAACTTACTCATACCATCGCTGGGAGAAGCAATCCTAGAAAGGAGGGCTATGCGCAAGTCTATATCTCTTCGACTGGTTTGCACAACACATTGGAGCCCAAAACGGGGCCTGGTCGGAGTGAGTTACGGCGTTCGTGATGGCGTTTCACTTGTTGGGTTACTTGGGGCCCGAAGAAGCACAAGCCGAGGACGGACCCGCCAAGGGGACCAGAGTCTCCGTCCTCGTACCTGAGAGGGGTATGTAGATTTGGTTGGGGCCCGGCCGGTACAGTGAGATCATCCTAAATACCATGCCACAATCCTACACACCAGGAGATTCCAAGCTGCTGGGGTGTTTTTAGACCCCATTCAGTGAGTGGATCAATCATGGGTGCCCCGACATGGGACTTCAAAGGATGAATCATACAAATCATGACATATATATATAGCCAGTACAAGACCTGTCACCCAGTGATTCCACATGATGTCACCGGTGTCGCACACCCAGTGCATCGTCGTGAACCCATAAATCAAACGTGCATTTTTCGGGTGATCCAGGCGTCGCCAAAACACACGTCGCTGCCAGGGTGTTGAACACGCTGAAGGGCTTCGAATCCACTGGGTGGCGTGGAGGAAGTGGAGGAAGCTGATGGTTTCATAATGTTTCTGGGGTCCTTCTGGGGTGATGTGTTTGTTTCTTTTTTTTTCCCCTCTTCATGGGTTATATGATCGATTATGATCGGCATGATCTAGGATTCAAGTGGGATTGAAGGGAGGAAGAAGGTTGGATCTGGTTCCCATTGTGCTGTTTCGGAATTATATTTTAGATCTTTTTTTGGAAGTCCCAACTAAAAAATACTAACAGCAATCCGCGGGATCCTCTAAAAGCATTGTGTCACTACTGCATGGTCCACTTCCCTCTTCTTGATGAGCAAACCTGTGTTATTCATGTCTAAGGCTTTTGGATGCCTCAAGAGCGCATGAAATAGTAATGCCACGTAATGCCCGTTGTTACTAGTAATTAGCGATGCCCTTGTTACTAGTAGCTTTTTGTTACTAGCAGTAAGGCCAGGAGCTACTAGTAAGCGTCCTTGCTGATTGTAGCAATCCCTTTGTTACTAGTAGCTTCTTGACCTTTGATCTCATGGATCCCCGTACTTGAAAGCAAGACATGAGACCTCTTGTCGATATCTTTGATATCGACACTTGCATCCTTTTACAAAGGCATGTGCGGATTTTGGTGATGCGCCTGGTGAGTTCCACACCATTGGTGTGTTTTCACTCCTCGTCGGCATAGATGAGCCATGATGGTCCCAGAGTTCACCAAACCTCCAAGTAGCGTGGAACGCTCTCAGATGTTGGAAGAGTTCCTTCAGAGTTCCAGACCCTCATAGATCCTGCTGAACGGTTCAGCAGACCCCATACCTGTTCAGAAGTTCAGAAGCACTGCCTTGACCCCTTCCCATACCTGTTCAGAAGCACGAAATCCCCCGCTCGCAGATCGAGGAAACCCATGCTGCCCATTCTGCAAGCAGTGCCTGCCACAGTGCCCTTCTTCTTTGTGGTCTTTTGCTGGTTTGCAGGCGATAGATGCATAGATCCTGCCTCGCCATCCTTTTTTTGTTGCGTTTTTTTCGGTCTAATTAGTGGGCTCTTTGTGCACAGTTTAAGCTGGAGGAAGGGTTTCAGCAGCAGTGGTGCAAAACCAAAACACCTTCGGTCACAATCCCTGAAAGTGGATTTGGAAGATAAATTACATGTGTGTCATCTTGGGAATTCAAACCCAGGAGAAAGGCATCTCTCCATCCACCCATCTTCCAAAAAGGAACCATCACTGAAGCCACGAGAACCGCCGGGAGGCTTCATGCACATGTACTACTCCTTCAACCTGACAGATTGGTGGAGCTCCGGAATGATCATGTACCGCCTAGGCGGCGCTGGGAGTCGAGTCGTGTCTTACGTGGAGTTCTGCGGAGTTCGGCGCAGAGAGCGCTCATTGCTGGGAGAGATGGCAGTAGCAGTGGCAGTAGCAGTAGGAGTCTTTGAGTGGATTTTGAACGATCCGTGCAGTTGGTGGGCGCCGATCGGCCCGATCGCTGTAGGTAAATGCGAACATCCAAGTTTCCCTCAAGCCACTACCAGGACCCCCTACGGGGTGTGGAACCGCACTTCTGCTGGAACCCCAAATCTCAGTTCTTGCCATTTGCCGGCTTTTTGCTACGTACATAAACAAGCTCATCATAATCTTCAATGTACCAACGCATGTTACAACATTAATGCACTTCTCCACTGAGTTTCCTCGGCCTGGACGCCCACCTCCCTCCCTTCTAGGCTTCTTGGCGGACTTTTCGCGGAACGAGCTCATCACCGGCGTGGACGGCGATAAGAGGGATTCCACGGACAATGTGGTCATCGAGGACGAGAAGTGGATCACCTGGGCCGCTGGTCCTTTCAACGCCTCGGCGCGAGTCGCGTGCATCGGGGCGCGTGTTTGTGTGGCGACTGGATGATGTGAGTGGAGGTGAGTGGAAGGACATTGGAAGAAAACACACCCTCAAGCAGTTGAGGAGTTCGCCACGTAACAATCCACATCAAGTACGTGGTCCCTTGGGGTTCCCCAGTGGTGGGGGAGATGTTTTCATTCGCATCCAAGGAGGTACAGGTGACGCGGCACCAGCATGGCCGTTGGGTTTTCCAGTGTGATGAATGAATCAAAGCCATTGTCAGTCACCGTCAGATTGTGCTGGCAAGACGGCGACGTGTCAGAGTCAGACTTTGGAGAGGGAGAGAGAGAGAGAGAGAGACACACACACACACACTCAGACATATACAGAGCGCCAGTGCACATATTAACAGTTAACAGCATGCAGTATTAACATCATATTTACAGCGCTTGGTGTAATAAAAAAATAATCCGCTCAGTCCGCTGATTTTCCGGTTCGCAGGAGAGTGCGGGTAAAGAAGACTAAGACTTAGACTGCATTTGGGGTATGCTTGCTCTCCATGGCCATGGCTCTGTTTGGTATCAAGGGCATTTCCAGCTCGTAGGGTGTGGGATCATGCGTTGGCCCACAACATCTTGAGCATTAGATTCTTTACAGTTAATAATTCAATATTACATATTATAGCCTAAACGGCCTAAACAATTATAGTGTCGAAGGGTGGGAAACAAGGGTGGATGACAGACGAGACCTTACAAGCGTCTCACTCGCCGCCATGGCAGCGGCACAAACGTCGGAGTTTGACTTCGAGGGCTTCATCGGCCATGGCTCCTTTTGCCAGGTGGGAGCTGCAGAAGGACCCTGGATCTGCGGACCATGTTGCGTGCGGAGGATTGGCACAAAAACCCAACCTTTGGCAGCAGATGATGATAGTCATCCGAAGCATAGCCAGGATTGGCGCTGCAGGCTGCCTCATGACTCATATGGGCCCATTTGCTGTGAGAGGTGACCTAACGACACCAAACAAAGGAACCCCTTTAAGCAAAGACCTGCAACCCCAACAGACACATTGCCTCAAACCAGTGTCATGTTCATCGTGGATTTCACCAACCACGCGGACCACCACCGGCCCCCAGCCGCGTCCCTGGGAGCCCAGGTGGAGCGTTGCGTCCATCGAGCCACCGGCAGCAGCTACGCCGCGAAGCGCGTGGTGAAGAGCAAGCCTCACGTGCTGCAGGGCATCGTCATGGAGGTCCATTGCCTTCGCCGGCTGCAGGAGCGTAGCGGCGGCCACCGACCGACCGTCGCGGGACGGACCGGGACCCCCTTGAGCCGAAGCGACGGGGCCATGTTGGGCGGTGTGTTCGGAGGTGTGTTTTGGTTGGGGGCCCCCCGGACTGGGTGCAAAACCCAGACACGACCTGTGTGGGACTGCCATATGTGCCGCAGAAAGACCCCCAGAAAGACTCCCAAAACCACCCCAATGTGGGCATATTTGGCATACATGGAGTGTTTGGGAAATATCCTGGGCTCCGGGAAAGATGCCGTCACCTTGTTCCAGATTTTTCAGCCGCAACCTGGACAGCAAATTCAAGATCATGTGGGCATGTGGCAGGAACTGAGAAGTGCCGAAGAACTGCGTGGTGCTTGTGGTGCGTGTGTGTTGTGCGTGTACTTGTTTACTTGTTTGTTTGCGTGGGTGTTGGCATTTGTTTGCTGCCTTTCTTGATCGAGCTGTTGGGGACATGTTTGTTCTCAGGTTTAGGATGTTTCAGACATCAGGCAGATAGGACATCACATCATGCCAAACAGATCTAAACGTGCATATAGTAAGTAGCCCCCAGGTAGTAGAAGTCTTAAAGCTTGTCGAACTATATATATATTATATATAATTGATATATGATATAGTGATGAATTACCAGTACCTTCCTAAGAGGTGTCTATAAATAGCCTCTTCGTGGTGATTCGGGGTGTCCAGAAACGAAGCGTTGGAAACGATTGTGGGAAAGGTGCTGGTCAAAAAGGATGGATTGAGTCCCAGACACTCCATGTGTGCCATATATGCCGATCAGTTGGGGTGGTTTTGGGGGTCAATGTGGGTATATATGGCAGTCCCATGGAGTGTCTGGGAGTTCTTAAAACATGTCCAACTTGTGTTACTCGTCTCTCGATTTGGAGAATTTCCAGGGACCTCCTCTGGGCCGATGGATGTTTCAGGAGTCACCGTGGGTAGTGCAGATGGCCTACGAGATCGACCTGGAGATGGACGCACGGCCCAAAACATGTGTCCTTCCTCCCGTTCGACTTCCGTTCGACCATTAAAACAAAATGGGAACGACCTGGTTTTGTAGTGTAAGTCCTTAGTTGCTTCAGTAAAGCATATTAATTTAAAGGTGGTTGGAAGGCTATAGGGCTATAGGATGCTATAGGGTATATTTGGGGCCTCCCTCAGCCTTCCGTTTTAGGTGCCAGGGAGGGTTGATGCTCCGGAGTGGAGCCCGAAGTGATGATTGCAACGTGTGAAGTGGATGTTCAGCAGGAATTAGCTGGCACAAAGCATCCCCTCCAAATCAAAGGCCTCGTTTTACAGCAGGACCTCGTAAAGCTGGTCCTTTTGAGGTGGAAGGATCACAAAGCACCAATGTTGGGTGGGTGGATATCGCAGGATGATCAGGGAATCTTCACTCTAGTCCATTTTCGCTCGATGTGTCGACATATGCCGTGTTGGAGAGCCTTGTTTCGCGGCTTTCGGAGCGAGGATGGTTCTTATGTCAGTCACCCTACCTGGATGGTCCAACATCTCTCTCCACTAGACGGCGAGGGGGTGGTCTCAAGCAGGAAGGACGCACCAACTCTAGATATCACATTGATATCACTGGATAGGTTATCCCTGGAAGTCAAAGACCATTCTTTAAGATAGTTGATCTGGTTATCCTATAGGTTAACCCTTAGTGAAACAATGGTTGTTCGGTAAAGGCTATAAAAACAATGGTTCGACTTCTAGGGTTATGATGCTTCGATTTGCCTTAAAGTACACCCATCAACGGGGGAAAAATCCGGAAAAGAGAAACATCACGTTTGCATCCCCTGCTGACTCGATCTAGACCGCACAACCGGCACACGGGAACTCCTCGCGCGGTATCTCCGGGGGCGCGCTTCCACATCTCCCGGAGCGGAGGAGTGGATTGGCATTTTGGAGCTCTGCGAGGCGTGGACAGGAACCACGAGCCTCCACTGAGTGGTTGGACAGACCCGTTTTCCTTCCGCTCCTTCCCTTCGCGTCCACACGTCAACTGACCGTGCTACTTAGACCCAACGACAGCTACGAAGTGGTGGAGCAACGGCCCATTGGGCCGTCGGAGTCCATCTCCCCGGTGGCAGCCACCTTCCATCCCGGTGCCAGTAGTGGGCCCAGTAGGATTCCGGGGCCCTTGGGCGGCGCCGCCTTGGTCCTTTGCATGGTTTTGGTTGGGTTTGGGTGATCTGGAATTCCTTTGGCATAAATGTGTTTTGAGCCTGGAGCGTTTTCTTCGTTTTCGCCAGGGGGAGCTCTGGGAGGAAATCAAGCACTGTGGCTGCTTTCCCTCAGAAGGCCTTTGGTATGCTCGACAAATGCTGGAAGCGCTTGTGGCCGTCCATGATTTGGACATCGTGCATCGGGACCCGCGGAAAGAAGAGATGATCCGGTCTTGTATCAGCCCTATAGCGGGCTCCTGGCCTACCTCCGTTTCGAAGTTGGTTCGGGTGGGTGCTAGGGGGGGTCTAACCACCGAACCTGACGATATGGTTGGAGCCCTAGGGCAGAATCGTTTTCAAACCGGAGTGACTGACTGGCTTACCTTCGTCGATGGATGTTCGACCATTGTGGAGATGACGTGTGTTGCGGGGTTTTCGCGGTGAGCCAATGGTTGGATGTTGGAATCTTTGATCACTGGGTTGCTCAATTGGATGCACCTTTGCCAGATTTAGACTGACTTTGTGACTGCGTTCCTAGTTGTTTGCAGGACATCAAGTGCGAGAACTTTCTACTCACTGCTGAGAGGAAGGTCAAACTGATTGACTTTGGAACAGCAGCCCGGGCGTGCTTTAGTGGCTTTTGACCACATGTGACTATCAACCAACCCCGGACAGGGTAAGTGCACTTATGTTCCAATAAGTTAGATAAGAGATCAGGGCAGTGCATCACCTGCAGATGGGGGGCTATACCATGCAATTCTATAGACCCACGGAGGCTGTGGATGACCCACGGAGGCTGTGGATGACCCTATTATTGTTTTGAATGACTTGGTTTCATATGGGTGTTTTGATGAAATCCTTCCAGGTGACCGGGTTGGGGGTGCTGACATCTTCAGATGCCCTCATCGAATCCCCAAGAACGGTGCTGCCTAGTTGCGGGGTGCCAGGGTACACCTGAAAAATCTTGAAAACAGAAACTGGATTGGTGATGCGGTGATACACCATGATACACCCCATTTTTAACATTTTTTAACATATTAAAATCAACACCTCTTTCTTCGTGTATGTTCGGAAGTTCAGGGCCTCACCGCCATTGCTTGGACCCCTTCTTCACCCGCCGGGGCTCCTTCGCTGAGGCCCGCGATGCGGCGCACCCGGAGGTGCCGAGCCTCGGTCGCAGCGTGCATTCCTTTGGTTTGGACAGAGGTAGAGGCAGAGGCATTTGATACTTTGGTCATTTTTGGTCCCTTTTTTGGTCAGGTGAAGTTCAGGGGAGCAATCCAGCACCCCCAGCATCCCCAAGCTGTCCGACCTGGCTCCAGAAATTGTTTGGGGTGAAGCGGAGTGAAGCGGTCGTGCCGGTGAATCACTTCAGTCGAGTCGTCACCAGGTAGGACAATTCGTTCGGGTACCTGGTGCATTTTGAAGAGGTGTCATCGGGCACCGCCACCGGGTCCTGCCGTTGGGCCCTGGGGATTTGCATGGATTCGCTGCCTCAGGACCATGATGCTCGGCCCCCAATACGAGCACCACGTGGGGACGCCCAACTTCATGTCACCCGAGGCCATCGAAGGCGACTCGGATGACGATCTGAGGTGACGCCCGGCTTGGTTTGCCTTCGAAAAAGCCATGACTTGGGATGGAAAGAGGTTAGGGCCAAGAAGACCTCTCCGACTGGAAGAGTGATACATACATTTACTCCATGAACATGACCTCAAAGGATACATTGGACCTGGATGGTTTGGGTTTGGGTTTGTAGCCTTCTGCATGAACATCGAAGTACGGCATCACGATCCTTGAGCACCGTGTTGAAAAGGCCTCCATTCGCTACGTCTCCTGCATAAGCTGCATGCACCGGGATCCATGTTCGTTTGATCCAAAACCAGCTTCCGGTGCTCCTGCCCTGCCCACACTCACACACTCTCACACTCCGTCCGAAACCGAAACCAGGCACTGGCAACGACCGGAGAAGCGACTTGTGGTCGTTGGGCTGTGCCATTTATCAGCTGCTTCTGGGAGCTGCGCCCTTCAACGCTCCCACGCCCTTCATGATCCTCACGAAGGCAGAACCGACGCTGGACCGGTCAGAAGGATGGGGACCATGCAGCGGTTGGTGCAGCCAGGGGTGTTGCAGTCACTGGTGCAGCCTTGCAATGTTGAAGGACACCCAAAAGGCACAACAAGAGGTCTCCATGAAGTATCACTCTTCAGTGGGTCCTGGGATCGGCATGCAGAAGCTGTTTGGAGTTCTTTCGCCCCACAGACTTCACTTCTTTTCGTCCGCCAAGCATCACGACCGCATGCTTTCAGGCCCAAGCAGGGCAACTCTGGATTCCCAGCACCGGGATGTTCAGCGCCGAGCTGCAGTTGATCCAGCAGCTGACGACCAAAGATCCTGCTGCACGCCTGGGGGCCTCCTCCACCCGCCATGCTCTTGAGGGGGGGCTCCTCCCCACGCGCGGAACGTGCTGCGCCCCGCTGGCACCGCGCTCAGCCCTGCAAGGGGCGGTGGTGCGGCCACCTGGTGAGTAGGAGACTGAGGAGTGGGCCGTGTCACGCAGAAGATGCGGGGAGGGGAGGGGGGGCAGCCATCGAAAAAGACACTTGCACATGGAATTTGAGACATTTTCTTGAGAAGAATCATGGAATTTCTAAATTTAGGATTGCGGATGACCACCATTGACCACCGGAGATTAGGAAGCTTTTTGCTAAGACTGTACTAAGACTCTCTTCCTTCAGCAGAGTTTTGTCCAGTGTTGTCTGTATATCATTGTATATCCACATCTGAATCTAAATCAGGCGCCTGGTCCGAGCGGAAAAAACATCAGCTCTTCCGGAAGTTCATCCTCCCCACGCCCCAGGACAAGGTGGATCACCTGCAAAAAAACTGGAAAACCTGGTCGTGGGATGTCGTGGGATTGTCTTTCCCCACACGCCAAACACTTGAACAGTGAAAAGTTTGGTTAACGTATGTTTATTTTGGGCGGGGATTGGTTGTCCCGCTGCACAAGAACAGGTGAACAGTCTGCCTGGTCAGGAGCGAGCGGCTCGCAGCTGCACCGGTGCGGCGAACCGCCCGCTGTTGCTTCGAACACACTGAGGCTGTGCCGTGCTGTGGTGGCCGAGAGTGACTCCCGAGCACTAGAGGAGGACCCGCCCCCTGCAGGGGAGTGCCTCTTTGTGGCTGATGCTGCGCAGGGCGTGCTGGCGCAGCTGGGCGTGGAGGAGATGCCTGAGACTCAGACGCTTGATGAGGTGCGAGGAGCTGGCAGCATTTCCAAGGATACCAAATTAGTTCCTTCAACTTATTCAGAGACACTGGCGGCCCCCCCAATAGTAAACTCTGGTCACTTTTTGTTTCAATTGGGGGAACCCGCAACCCAGGAAGAGCTTCGAAACCTTAAATTTGCCGACATGTTGTAATATGTTATATTAACTCCTTCATTAACGTGGTAATTCATGACCAAACATCGAAAAGACCTTCAGATCGCGGGGTCTTCCTTTCCCTTTTCGCAGAACCCTTCATGAGAAGCCTGGATTCTTCGATATCCTTCGAGATATGCCTTGGGTCTATCCGAACTTGCTGGTTAAGAGTCTCCCGTAGTTCGACTCTGAAGACTCTTGATGAATAACCATATGAATTGGATACTCCTCTTCATATGGGGGGTGAATTCATCAAGAGATATCAAGAGTCTACGGTAAGCATGTATCACAATCTTAGAGAAGGGCCTTGAGAAGCTGGTAATAGGATAGACCCAAGATATGCCACACATGGAGTGTGGGGTGTTGTCTTTGAGTTATTTAGTTGGTTCTCCTTGCCTGGCCGCACTTGCCCTGGCCAATCATATGCCAGAACATGTTTTACTCACGATACTGCTGTTTATATGTATATACAGTATACAGTATATACTCCCAACAGTGACCTGCAATGCCTTTGCAATCCTGCCCTTGCAACCGGCCCCCCGCCCTCGAAAAGAACATCCCAACAAAAGCAAGAAAACACATTCAATTTGATAATTGCAAAGAATTCACACCATATGGTTTGGATGGTTTTTGATCCTTTGATGGTAAACTTTGGTAAACTGTTTGTAAGGGGTCTCTCAACCATCGTTTGGGTGGTGCTGGAGACTGAGCTTTGGGTCTTTCAGGTGGGAAAATCCCACTGCCTCCAGACGCTGAGCTGAACAGGTGCTGTCCACCCTCCGCGCAGCAGGGCTGGGGGACAATGAGCAGGTGGTCCTATGGCGGAGCGTGGAGCTCGCAGAGCAGCGGCTGAAGGAGAGCAGCAACGGGATGGGAAGTTGAAATGAGTGATGCTATTTTTCAAGTAGGATCGATTGGCTGTTCTATGGCATGTGGGTGGGGTTTGTAGCGGTGAAACAATTGGAAGGCTGTGGACAACATTGTCAGACGAAGGACAGGCATACATGATTACTTGAGGGCTGGCCGAGCAATCGAAGACAAGGCAGTACAAGAGTAATGGGAGTAGTAATGGGATGGGGTGGTTTTGGGCCGAACAATTGGCTACATCAGAGGTTCCTTTTGTCTATATAAAGAGGTCAGCAATAGCCAATCCCGCAACTTAGACATAGATGTTCAATGAGTTGTGGCTTTACTGACTTTAGAGGACGCTTCGATTGGTGTGTGATTATTTCTTTGTCAGGTCGTCTTCCAATGAAGCAAACATCGACACACATTTTTGCACGCTTCAGGATTGACATGCTGAACAGTTGAGAAACATTTGTGCAAACTGTAAGGTGAACACAAGGTACTGATTCTGGCTGGCACTCTCCTGCTCAAAATTCAGTCATGACCAACGACTTTCATCCACAAAAACCAGCGGGTTTTGGCAGTTTTTGTTGGTCGGATCGGGACTGCTAGAAGGAGTCAATCCAGGATCCTTTCAACTGGAGTGTCCACCCCAATTCTTCCCGTGTTGGACTTTTCCACAGCATCCTTTTGAGTTGAAGGAGAGCCGCGAGACCTTTTCCCTGGGCGGCAGTGAGAATTCCAGCGAAGCCACCGATGAAGAAGAGGCGGAGGAGGAAGGGAAGGACTCAGCTGCGGTGAAAGATGCCAGCCAGCTGCCACCTGTTGGGGAAGCTTCTTGTCAGAAACTTGGAGCACCTTGGTGGCCAACGAACTGATTGGATAGTTACTTAGCAGACAACAGTTGTTGACAATAAGTAATGCAATGCATAGACTCCTTGACTTGTTAGTTGATTAACAAAACCACCCCGGACATGGATGCACTCACTTGCGGGTCCATGACGCTTCTACTCTACAGCATCCCTTGCCACAAGGGTGAGAAAAAGACGGACATGGATTGTAAAGCCGCTTCATCCTCCCTAGGGCTCCAGTCGTACCTCCTCAGAAAGTACTGGGACCCTCCAAACCAACCCCAAACACCTTCTTAGGTGCCACGGTCCACCTCGACACCGCCCAGGCTTCGCCACGTCCAGTTCCGGAGGGCCAGGCGGCCAAGTGCTGCGAGTTAATGTGACCAAAGCAGTTCCACGGTCCGTTCTTGGACACTCCAGGACGTGACTTGTTTTAATGGAAAGATCTCGAAAGGCCTTGATCAATTCAAGGATGGGTTTCGGCTGGTTCCGGAGATTTGACTTGTGAAGATGCAAGGAAGAGGCTCTCTCCCAAGCGGATCCTCATTGATCCTGGAGGCCTTGGCCTTGGCGAAGGCTGGGATTCGGGCCGCCAGGCCGCCCTGTCCCCAATGATTTGGGCTTTGGAGATGATCCCTGTGCTTGGTGCATTCCCTAAGGGAATGCAGGCCTTCGACCCGACCAAGAGACCCGAGATGACCCAGAGAGGATCTCGAACGCGGTCTCGGCGGCCGTTCTCCGCGCCAGAAAGCGGTGGACGAAAGAACGGTGAAGCCAATGGATGGGTGATGGGTGGGGTGTTTGGTTTCTTGTTTGAGGGCATCTATGCCTCATGAAGCATCATTTGAATGCCCCCCTTTTCATCGGTTGTTCTTGTGTCATAACTACGTTGTCAGAGCATGTTCCGAATCTAACAAATCATCGGTTATACAACGGTTCACATTGCTTGCCCTATAGGCATGTGGTTTCTTTGTTGGGCTGGCCCTACATGGTCTACAATCATTATTGTACTTTTCCGATCTTTTTCCCGAGTGTATTTTTTTGAAGGGGCTGCTCGGAAGGGGCTGTAGCAGCTATAGCATGTTGATAATAGGTTGGTTGTTATTGTTGCCCTAATTGTAGCAACTCACTCTTTCGTAGAACAGTTGAAACAGTTGATCTCATTTTCCACGTTCATCTTTCTTCAGCGCCAGTTGCAATAGCACCCACATCCGTTTTCCACGTCCGGAACGCTGCTCCTGCCACACCCGGCTCGTGGTTCACAGGTCTCGCACGGCTCTGAGGCCGATTTGGTCTTGGTCGTCATGGGGCTGTCCATGTCGATCATTTTAATGAATATTTTGATTGGCGTGCTGGCTGAGAGCTACAACCGAGGCCCGGGAGAACCAGGGCGGACCATGGGTGAACTGCATGTTGGGGTGAATGAAGAGGTAAGAAGGATCGATTCAGTTTTGGGCGGTACCTTTTAAATCCTTTTAAAGACCCGGGTCTTGCATCTCAGAATGACTGTGAAGTTGTGACATGTCTTTAGCTTGGTTGTTTTTAGAACTTGCCTACTATAGTTGCAACTAGGACTAGGAAGACTTTGAATCCCACCACTGCATGGTTGAACTTCAGGTCTTTCCAGCTAGGTGAATCAATACAGGCAGCAGAGGGAGCCAGTGTTGTTGGATCCGCCATCTCGTTGCCTTTTGGCTGAGGCAGGCAGACATCTGGCAGGTACTTGCTGGTTTTGGCACACCAAATATCTACAGTCATCGTGATCCTGGGGTAGATAGAACACTGGAATCCAAAAGCCAATAGGAGATTGGTCAAATGTTTGGTTTGGTTTAAGGTCACCTTCTATCAGAATCTCATCTCCGGGGAACCCTTGGCACTTTCAGGCACCTAAGACAAGTATCTTATCCAAGTTGAACACTAGAATGCCCAGACCTTGGACGTCCCAAACGCCACCTAACGCCACCAGGTTGGGAACACCGAGAGCGGCTCTTCCTCTTGGAGCGCTCGCGGTGCCCCGGACCGGGCACCGATTTGTTTGGGCTGATGAAGCTGAGGATATCAATCGAGCCAAACTTGGTCCAACTGACCAGTGGAGTGTGCACTCTTTAGACAAAACATGACAAAACAATACAAAACATAAATATATATTTATATATATACATATGTATATAATTCAGATATTCCACTATTCCAGGTTTCCCCCCAAAAACGGTACAAAGAGTGGAACCTGGAATGCAAACCCCCATGGCTTGGGGGAACATCACATCCCTTTGTTCCAACTCCGATGAACGGCAGGGGCAGGGGTTACGGAAAGATGCAGTTCTTGGACCGCCAGGGACAGGGGTTACGGACCCGTTGGGTTAATAAGAACTTGCAATTTTTCCTTCAGAGATTTGGATCTTAAAGAATCCAGGACCTCCAATCAACCTGACGGAATACATCAACCCATGAATCGTGCACAATGACCATCGCTGAGGTTAGTGCTCCAACATTTCACCTCGAATCGGGGCTGGAAGAAATGCTGTAGCCTGTGCCGGCGGCGGCGGGTACAAGGAGAGATGGGGGGGAAGTTTTGGCGGGTCTTCAAGTGCCCTAGAAGGAAAGACAACTTCCAGGGCCTCCGGTCCGGGCCAGGCGTGTCCAATTATAGCCCCTTACACTCCGACGAACACATCACATGGAAATGGAAAACCACCTGTTTGTAGAGGAACATGGTCTTCACTGGGGCCATCCACGTAACCATGTGATGTGTTTGGACCTGAGTGTAGAGATCTTGGAAGGTGATTCGGGAGGTCCACTGGCTCCGGGGGCTCCGGGGGCGCCCTGGTTGATGTGTTCTTTCCTTCAGACTTCAGAAGTTCCTAGCGCTCTTCAAGTACCAACTTGGCCACGAAAACGCATCTACTACACGGCTTAAACATACACCGACCGAGCGACCAAAGCACGGATGGACCTCGTGCACAAGGGATTGAGGGTATCCATGGGTATCCTGGTTTTGAGGTACTTCGCTAACATCCACGACAAACAAGTGATTTGGTGATATCCCAAGAATGTTTGGGCAATTGCAGGGCCCAAAAAACTCAAACAACTTCCCAAATTCATGCACCTTGCGACTTGCAGCTTACACTGCAGCTTGCACGCTGGACATCGCCTACTCACCTGCCCAGTGTCCGACTTGGGTCTTTCCAATGCCATGGGCTTTGATTCTCTGGCAAATTGAACGGCCTTGAGGCCCTGAGAACCGGAAAGGGTGTCGGGTCGGGATCCAGGTCATCCAAGTCGGATTGATCATACCCTAGGGATCCACTGGCGCCGTACCTCAGGTTCGGTACAACTGGGCCCTTGCCAGGAGGGCCTACGAAAACATGTCTCCAATCACCCGTACCTGAGGTTCGGTACGACTGGATCCCTAAGAATTGATCCCTCTCTCTCCATGTCACGCCGCACCGCTGCGCGCACGCTGCAGCAGCTGCAGCACGCAGGAGAGTTTGATGCCCGCTTCGCCGCTTGGATTTGATGGGGGAGGAATACGAGGAATACGAGTAAAACCAAGGTGGTCTAGGTACCTAAACGTACCAACTATCTGTGGGCGGATAATTAGAGATATATAATGATATATACCAGCACCACCCAAGGGGTGGATATTAGATGGAAAATACATCTTCAGGGGGGTCTATAAACCACCCTTTGGGTGGTGCTGGTATATATATGATATTTTTAGATTTTTTAGTTCAATGTATCGATATGTATCAATGTGAGCCAAATCTATCGACTGCACGGACTCTATTATAGTAATATGTGTGAGTGTGTGTTTGTCTTGTTACCGCCTTCGTATATTTTTCAGGCGTGCGGACGTCACTATGACTATATAAGCAGAATTTGGTCAAATGATCCAAAGAAGGGACGCAAACCCTTCGGAAAGCTGTTTGTACGATCTGGACCCTTTGGGAAGGGGACGTCAACCCGCCGCCCGCATTCAATCATTCATATCGAGTCGTTGAGAAGGTTCCTTGGTTCACGACGGGTCGCCTTAGACTGACCCGCCGCAGCGGGCCAGTCTCGATGCTCTGAGGGGTGCGGAACGAGGTTTTGGGACTCAACATGACTCAGCGACTCAACGTCGCTTGACTGTCGCGTCTACTGGAACCCCCAGTTGGGGTGGCTGACACCCATTGACCTTCTTAAGGGGCTACTGATGAACACCCATTCCGTGGTGCCGGTATACCGGTATACCTCCCTTTGGTATACCCTTAGACCCTTAGCCTTAGCCCGTTTGGTAAAGGTTCATCAGGGATTCACGACTAAACCCTGAAAAGGTTCAACCCTTGGAAGAAGATCTGTTCGGACTGGCTAAGCTGTTTGGGACGGGCACCTGGTCCAGCAACTGCGCTGAACAAATCCGTGGGGCAATTCAAGAGCATGAACGGCTTCCCTTCTAGGACCGCTCGGCAAGCCTCGAAGTCTAACAGCTGATTCTTCTAAAAGACTCCTTCCACGGCGGAAGAAGGTCAGATTTCGGATGTCCTATAGGTATCATATATAGGTGTTGATTCTCCCCTCCAAAGCATGGAGACCGGAGAATTGCCCCTGTTTGGCCTTCGGAAAAATGAGTCTTCCAGATCTTCCACGGGGCCGCTCCGCTTCCATCCTGGTGCTGCCATCGGTTTTCACGTGGAAAACTCACTTCCGCTATGAGTTCAGAAAGACCTCCACACCGCACAGCGGTTCTAACACCATCCCACGGAGGAGTTTCAGGACCCGATCCCACTCTCCCATCCCTATGGCTCCAGGTGCCACCGAACCTGAGAAGGTGGGACTGGGGGCCCAGGTGCCAGCCAGTCCAGGTCCAGTCATACCGAACCTGAGGAGGTACGACTGGGGCCCGATCGGGCATAGGTACTGTCTCGGGTGTGGTCCTTTCACAGGTCACCGGCGACCTCCACTGGGCATCGCCCAGGTGTGGTTTGCCTTCCCGAAGGATCCAGCCTCATGGGGAGAGATGCAGACCGATGCCGAGGGCGATGCCACCATGAACGTCCATGAGAAGGCGACGTCCATGTTCTGCCAGATGCGTAAAACACATCACAACATGGACATCCCCCTGACCAGGACCGCCAATCGGGGTGGTTAGTTTCTCCATGTTTATCAGTACTCCAGGGGTGTTTGGGCCTCTTGTAAGGGATATAGCACCCCCGTTTGACACTGTTTCCTCCCAAACCATCCGACCTCTTCCCCCCGGACCCGGTCGCCGCGTCGACCGAAGCCGACCTCTTCGCCCGCAGGTCACGGAGCTGCGCCGCGAGATCCGCGAGATGATGCATGGCAAGCTGAAGACTCACCAGGCCGACGTGCTTCGGGGGCGAAACGTGCTTCGGGGGCGGTGCCGAGCGTGAAAGTCGGTAAAGAAGGGTACGGTTTGGAGTTGGGCGGTTGAGGTAGAGTGCTAGAGGAAGGTTTGGGTGGGGGGGTCGTGGAGGGAGGTAGAGTGGGAGTGGTTAGGAATCGAAAGGAAAAAGGGGGGTAAACACCGCAGGTTGAGAGCCAGGGCCATCAGGGCCCGGTGCAAAAATGCCTATAGGAGTTGGACAGCTTGGAGATGAAACCCAATCAAAGTACAAACGTCATGTGATCAATGGTGCTGGAACTCCCAACTGTTGCACGGTGAGGTGTTCAGCATCTCAACATGTGCGAGATTTGCCTTCGCAGTGTAGACTCTTGACATCTCTTGACTAATACCTCTCCATTTGCCATTGCCATTGTAAGACCATATCGGGAGGTTCATAAATCACGCCCTTTTTTCCCTGACCTGAAGTCTCTGTTTGCCTCGGACCAGCTGGGGACCTTTCTCGCCGCGGGGGGCGACGAGGAACATGGTGATGACCTGATGCACAGCAGCCAGGGCTTCGCAGCTCGAAAAGCATCGAGCGGGGCGGATTTGGAGGTGGCTGAGGCCAGGTGGCATGTCCTTCCCACGGTGCTTTCTGGCCGGGACCTGCCGGTGGTTGCGTGCTTGCTGGTGGAGGTGTGCCGAATGTTCACCCAGCCATGCCCAATTACCTCAGAGAGGGAGAAAGAGAGACACAGAGAGAGAGAGAGGGAGGGAGGGAGGGAGGGAGGGAGGGAGAAGGAGTGTGACGAGGTCTCTTGGTGATTTTTGCAGAAGAAGCCGCTCAAAGGCCAAACCAACAACCGGGTAGGCAAAACCCCGCTATTCATGCACAATGCTGGTGTTGGGGAGAAGCTCAAGTCCTGAGTGGCGGCAGGAAGTTGGAGTGAGGTCGATGATTTCCACCGTGCTCCATCATGCTCCCCAGGTTTTGGAGCTTGAGCATCAAGCACATGTGTGTGCCCCTTTTTTTGTAGGATGGTCTCTCCAAAACAAGAATCCAACCACTACGACTCGCCAAGTCAAGACATTGACACCACCAATCATAATCACAGGTGAAGCCTTTGGCGGACCCTACTGTCAAAATGAATCATGGTGAAATGCCTTCACCTTTGATGCGATTGTGTCGTCTTCAACGCTCTGAGACATTGCTCCAACTGCTTCAACATGATTGTGTTTCGACATCCTTAATTTTCCATCAGACACATCAAGACAACGCACCGACCCGCCGAACATGATCCAGCACATGAAGACGCACCTTCCTTTGGAAATAAACATGAAATCCCATCCTCCAAGAAAAGTGTGCTACAAGTGTCCAGAAAGGCAGGCATCCAGCTACCCCTAAGCCAAGTCTTATAGTCTTCAAGAGAGTTTTCAAATTCTCCCCACCCATCTTCGCGCCAAGCATGGTATTACTAACTCGGGCGCCAAACCGAGGACAGCAATCTCAACAGACGCTTGGGAAATCTGGAGACTCAGGTGGGCGATCTCAATGTGCCTCGGACTCCATCGACTCGACTGGCGTCGAGCAGGACACGCTTTCGCGCGCGCGCGGTGTCCCCAGACGGAGTCGTTCCCGGCGCGTGAAAGGGCGAACGTTCCGGCGTGAAAGGGCGTTCTCCTTAGAGCGTGGACACTGAAACACAGGAACATTCCACAATGCAGTTTTTACATGTAAAAAATATATATGCCAAAATCATCTAACACAAACCATGGAGAAGGGTTAGCTTTGGAGCTCGGAAGAATGAGCCAGCGGGTCCTCAGTCCTCCACCTCATGGAGGTTGTGACATCCTTCTCCTCCAGTTTGATAGGGCCCCCTTGGACCAAGGCCTCGATCACGCGGATGCTGTCCGTCTTGCCCCACTGAGCACGGCCGCGACCGTCGCCACGGCGCGGGTGGCGAAGATCAAGCCATGTGGATCCTGCGCTCCATGTATGGGATGAGATGACCATATGGCACATAATATGATATATCAATATTATAATATACAAAATATTGTTTTATATGTATAAGTTATGTTATATAAATTTACATCTAAATTGTATATTGTCTATATCGATATGATATAGCTCTGACTGTGGAGGAGCGTTTGGGCCTACGATGTCCATCGCTACGAAGCTTCAGTGGGATCCGCTGGACGTGCGTTTCACCCGTACCAACAGAGGTCGACAGAGTGCGATGGACGGATCGTACGAAGCCCTCCGCGGGTGGCGAAGCTGAATCAAATGAATTGAACATCCTCTTCATATGGTGGGTGTCTCTATGTGTCTCTTATATTGAGGTCGATATCAAACACTATGGGGATTGTGCCATCTACTTTGAAACCACTACTGTAATATTGTTTTGATCACCACAACTTCATACGACAGCTTGTTGAGGAAGTTCTCAAGGAAGTTATTAAAGCACCTGCAACGCAGGGAGTGTTGATTTCCCATGCTGCTTTCGTTCGAGCTGAGGAGATGGATTGAGGAAGAACTATACCCTGACAGGACATTGTTTGGGGTACCTTGTCAGGGTGCTCCTGCATCCTTCCGGTTGCAATGCATGCGCGATCCGATGGTTGATGTGCTATAGACGACCCCTGCAAGCCAAGCATTCCAAGCATATTGCCGTTGAAAAAGGAACCCCATTGACGAGTTCGGCCCCAGAAGTGCTCCTTTGACCGAGTTCGGCCTCAGTTTGACCAGTCCACCGCCGTCCACGAACGTGAGAAGAGGCGGTGTGAGCCGAGTTGCCAAAGGATGCCGCGAAGAGTCGAGCGACGGACCGACGCCGGCCTCGGACGGACTAGACGACCGGCCCTTGGGCGAGGTGAGGGCGGAACATATGAATGGAAGAGTGGGGAACATGTTTCTGTCCATTTCCGGGGAAACAGGTGGGCTTGGAGTTTCTTGGTTGCTGCAGGCCAGCTGATTGGACTTTTTTGTGCAACTTAGCCTTTTGGCCTAATGTTGGACATGCTCCGGTGGCAAGAATGGCCCATTCCAAGTTCTACCTCATGAAGCATCATCATCCGATGCGCTCTTCATCAAGGAACTTATTTTAGCGCCCGACATGCACAGCAAAAGTACAGTTGACGGATAACTGCTGAGACTGACAGCATTTGGGACTGAAATAGAAGTGATTTGAAGGTCCAAAAGTTTACAAAACACCTTCACGTCACGCTGGAAGAGTCTTCCCACAAAGGACATCAAAAGATATAACCCTGACTGGAGCTGTGGGAGGTGCACCATTTGCAGAGACCGATGGTGTCCGCTTCAGGGGTTGAATGGGTTCAGGTGAGATGGGGTCTCATGCCTTGGAGCCTTTGAACGCTTTTGGGCATGTTTCCCCCGCGGCCCCAAGCACTACAAGGCGAATGAAACTTGGAATTCCTGGCACATCCTGGCGCTTTGCCAGATCGCCCTGTCTCAAGATCATCTTCGCAAGCATTTGGTTCAAAGTTGACCATGCGAATTCCTCGAACACCCTAGTATCTGCGGTGCTTCGGCTGCAGCTTACGCTGCAGCGCATGGCAGCTTGGTTTGGATTTGGGTGGAACTGCGTGGAGCATATACCAGGACCCCCAGTCGGGGAGGTGAATGGACACCCCTTAACCTCTAAGGGGCTATTAATGGACACCCGGAATCCGTGGTGCTGGTAGGTGCCTCTGAGACTCCGACGTCTCGGAGTCTGGAGCAGAAGTCCCACCTTCGTACCGAGCCTCCAGGCTCCCTCAGACCATCTCAGACCCTAAGCTGGCCACCCCAGACCCAGCTTCTTAGAAGATACTCCTCCACAAAACTAACATAGAACCTGGAAAAAAATGACCCGTGGAAGAGGATTTTCCTCTACAACCAGTAGTTTGGGGGTTCCATGTGGTCCTCTGCAGGGGAAAAACACTGGGAGCCCCATGGGGAGTGGATCAGTGGCACTCCTAGGGCGGGCACCACCTCGAAGGACAATGGGACTGGCTGACACACTGGCCATTGGGCCCGAGGGCGGGCCTTGTTGATCTCAAGTCTCGCAAGGAGTGCATTCCTTTGTTGATGGGGTGCTTACCTTCGCCCCTAATCTCCAACAACTCGGCGGACGCTTTTTCGCCGCGCGGCGGACCGCGCCGCCGAAAACTGCAGGAGCCGGACCAGGGATCTGTCTTTCTCCAGTTGGACACACCCATGTTTGGGGAGGCCCATCCTGTGAGTGTATGTGACAAGGGGCACCCCGACCCTCCAAGGTCGCGAAGGTCGGCTCCTAACTCTAACTGACTGGAACTCCTGGATTGCTGAACTCTTGGTCCTCTGGGATGGAGACTCATTGCACCTGTCTTAGGTTGAGTCAAGCAACCGGACCCTGCGTACAGTGGACAACACATGTCAGCTGATCGCATGGTTGTGGAATTGACCACTAGAGCCCCCACAGCTACAAGCTTCCCAGATGCTTTGTGTTCAGGAAATCTCCTTCTGGCAGTTTCTGGCCAAGGAGCCAGATGCCGACACTTTGCCGCTGCTTGGTGGATTGGAGGGCCCTGTTCTAGAGAGGTGGGCGGCTTCTAGTCTAGAAGTCTCCCTTGGGATCAGTCATTTGATGTCATTGTGGTGAAGTAGGTCCTTGAAATGACCATTTGTTGGACCAGCCCACGTGTTTGGTCCAATTGTCCGTCCGACACCTGGAGGGGGTGGTGGACAGGGTGGACACCACATCTCCAAGTCCAATGTTTGGTTGATTTGTTTTGACCAGACTGGATGTTCCTGGAGAGGGGTGAAGGGTAAAGACCTGTAAACACCTTTTTGGAACGTGTGTGTCTTGAATGTGCCAAGATGCCTGTCATGGTGACTCTTGTTTCTCGAATGTCCATTTTGACTGCGGTTGAAGTCTGTTTCGATGCGCCCCTTGGGGTTTGCTCCTCGCTGAGGCTAAAGCAGAGAATACCCGAAGTGGCTCTCTTCCGCCAGGATCTGAGCACACACCGGCATACAGCCCAGCCCGATGGGTTGAAGGTGGTTTTTCTCAAAGTAATGCTGAC